TCATCTATACTATACTATACTGTGCAGTATAGTTGAACATGCTGATGGAAAACTTGTGTAACCCTTGTCCATGTGTAGTTGATCAATTGATACTATACTGAGTATAGTTAAGAAAAGTATAGTTTCAACTATACTATACTGAGTATAGTATAGTACAATTTAAACTATACTATACCCAACTATACTCATACCAGTATAGTATAGTGGCACCCTTGGTGATAACGTTGAAAATTGGTCCAAAGACCTTTTCATTTCTTTACAATAAATTTGTCAAAAAAAAGACTTGATAACATTAGAGATTGGTCTAATGACCTTTGAGACTTTCTTTACAATAAATTTAAAAAAAAAATCAACTTGAGAACATTAAAAATTGGACCAAAGACCTTTTGATTTTCTTTACAATAAATTTTTCAGAACTTGTTAACATTGGATAATCTGATGATGTACAAAAGACTTCATGGAAGTCGCTCACTCCATGGTCTATAACCACATGTTTGATAAAGCTTAGTGATGAAAGTATCCCTTGATACATTGCTCATAGCCCAATGCAGACAGCGAAACCTATTGATCGCATTCGCGAATAGCCCCTCTCGACGAAGCCTGTCCTTGAAGACCTTGAAGACCCGCTCGATCGGATTGAAATCGGGCGAATATGGTGGTAGATAGACCAAAAGGACTCCCACCTGGTCACACAACTCTTGAATGATGCCACGGCGATGAATCGGTGCATTATCCATGACGAGGACCGAATTTCGATTGGGGTAAGGTTGCATGACAGGAAGCTAAAGTCAATATATGTATAGTCAGCTTCTTGAAATGGATCAGATGTTGAATGAAGAGAAAAAACTTACAAGAACATGTTTAAGAAATGCTTCGAATTCATTTCGAGTATAAGCATTGATCTTGCTGTTGACTGCAAGTAAGCCTAGCTCGCAGATCGCAGCGAGCATACTATAGTGACGGCCATTTCGTTTGCGCTTTAACGCTCTCGGTCGCTCGCCTCGCTTGGACCGAACATGCTTCCGTTGAACGTCTTGCGCTCGTAAACCGCACTCATCTAGATGAAGGTTAATAGAATTCAAGTTTGATCAGTTTAATGAGTCTTAAATGAAAGAGAAAGAAAGACAAATAGAGAAACTTACCGAGAAAAACAAGAAACTCATGTGGAATTCGACAGATTCGAGCAGAATAGGCTGCTCGAAGGGCTGGTGATTGCATCGGATCGACGGCGGAGACTTTGTGAACAGTAAGAGCAAGGCGGTCCTTGAGATCGTTGGAGATTGTTTGTCGAGAAGCCATAAGATCCGTGTGATTGTACATGGCAGCTTGAACCTCGTCGAGAAACAGTGTAGGATCGGCGTCGATGAGCTCCGCCATAAAGTCTCGATCCTCGTCAGTGTACAGAGTTGGTCGTCCTCGTCGATCGTAGGTGGCAGGATCCCGTACAACCGCTCGAGTCTCGTCGTAAAGAGCCTTCCATCTTAGGAAGGTTCTTGGTTTGATCCCAGTAACCAGTTGCTCGTTGATCGATCCGATGGTTTGGCCCGATAAGAACTTGGAAAGAGCAAGTGCCTTGATTTGGGGTGAGTATAGTACGAATGGCATCTAAGATAGAGGAAGTTGGTGGTGGTGGCGGTGGTATCGAGGGTGGTATCGAGGGTGGTATGA